TTCTTCCAGTTAAGATGAGGAATGATAGAAAGAGAAGCACACATCCAAGGAAGAGCAGAAAAATCGAGAGGGAAATGGACTTCCACGGGATTTTATCAAGAGCTCCAGGGGTATAATATTCAAATCGAGGGTCATATCTCACATTAAATTTACCATCATTATCATCATCAGGAAGAGCACTGTAACGAACATTGCGTCTTGATGACTTATTTACTCAACAGAACTTTTAAAATCCTAATTATCTGAAAAAGAAACCAAATTGCTTCTGATGCTTCGGAGGATACTCGTAAAGAACCAGTCAACCAGATATCAACAAATTAACAACTCGAGAAAAAAAAACTAAAAGATTCAGCATTTTTGGATCAAACAAGAAAATAACCTCAACCATGAGCAGAATCAATCAAAAACCAAGATTGGTTTATCATTTTCAGTAATTCCCACTACACATTTCTTTCTACAATTCTCAAAATCATAAAAAAGGAGAAGTACTACCGCTTAAAACCCTATGCTAAAAAATGAAAAAGGAAACATATTTTTATGAAAAGAAAGCAAATACAGGAACAGGAAGAGATGTACGTCGTAATTTAAACTTGGCTGTGCCTAGATGTCACAAGGCTGAACTGGCAAAGCTCAACGATGAAGAGGAGGAAGAACTTTCTTTAGCAGAGACTTCGTTTTTTCAAATAAATGTAACTGTTTGCAAGAAGCAGTTATATAACTAGTAGATGAACACATCGTTTTAATTAGTGGAATGTCTACCTATGATACTCTGCGTTTTGTTTAGTGCAAATTAGAAGCCATTTGTGTCAAGAACAGGACTGTAAGAAATGTTACTCTCCTTATAAGAAGATGTAACCAAAAGGAAGAAACATGGAAAAATAAATGATGAATGAATTTTAACATTACTGTACTCTCCTTCTCTCCCTCTCTCTTTGTTGATTCTTTTTAACAAACCATTCTCTTCCATCTCTAGAGCTGGCTGATAGCCTCTTCTTCTTTGTACTCACCTGGACAGCATCCATGTTGGTACCATTTCCCTTCAACTTTCAACAAGTGGTATTAGAGCCACTGATCTTTGGTGACAAGTTATGGCTCCAAACACTAGGTCCTAAGATTTCAAAAGGTTGGAAGAATCGTTTGAATATATATGCGAATAGGGAACAATCATAGAAATATGAGCAGGTCATGAAATCAATGAAAGGATATAGTCAGCAACAGGAAGCCACCAAATTTTATCATGAAGCCAACTTTGGAGAGCTCAAAGAACTCATCAATGAGCTGTCTTATCAGCAAAACTCCCTTTTACAGAAGCAGCCCAACGTTAAGAATGACTATCAACCATCTAACCTAAAGGATTCTACTACCAGATCATGTTGGATTTATGAAGGAAATTACCCCACTTACACGTTACATAAACCAAAACACGACTTTCATAACTTTGATGATGATGATGTACACTATATCAAGGAATATGATGAAATCAAATCACAATAAATTCAAACGCAATTATTACCATGAGTTATGCCAAATTTTATGCTTTTCATAATTATAGGATCCATTTGAAATATTGTTATTAATTCTGATTGTAAATATCCTTCCGTTACACACATTTGAATTCAAAAGTCAAGCTCTCAATATTGTATAAATATTATAACAAATGAATAGAAAGTATGCGTTGCATTACATAATATTGCAGTATAAGTTTCTATATGGTATCAGAGCTTGAAAATCTCTAACGAGTATCATCCTTACTGCTATTCTTCTTTATCTGCTTACTGCAAATGGTAACCATCACCACATCTACCATCGACTCTACACACTCACCCATCATCACAATTAATGCTGCCACAACCATCAATGAAAAACTCATCCCCTCTACTTTTCCACAGTGGCGAGCTCAATTTGAAGCCTTGCTCATTGGCTACGATCTTATTGAGTTTGTAACGGGTACACACAAGTGTCCTGCCATTGATGTGCTGAACCTTACTGCATCCAAAGCTGCGAATTCCCACTGGATTCGCCAAGACAAGCTCATCCTACATGCCATCCTCGCCTCCACCTCTACCACCATTACCCCCCTTCTCTTTGCCTACAAAACATCTCATGAGGCTTGGACAACACTTATCCGCTTATATGCAGGCAAATCCAGAACACGTGTGATGCAGCTCAAAGAAGACCTGACCTTGAGCAATCATGGGTCTCGTTCAGTTTCTGAATTCCTTCAAGGAATTAAAGTAATTGCTGATGAACTAGCAATCATCGATCATCCAGTTTCAGATGATGATTTAACTCTATACATACTTAATGGATTGGGTATTGAGTTTAGAGAAAATGTTGCACCCATTCGTGCCCGTGAGACGTCTCTGAAATTCAAAGAAATTCATGATCTTCTTGTCAGTCATGAAAATTACCTTCGGCGGCTAGAGCAACAATCTGTAACTTCATTTGTTCCCACCACAAATTATTCTAATCGCTGGAGTCCTCAATCCTCTTTTAATTCTAGACATTCCAAATGGCGTCCCCTAGTTGCTTTTCAATCTCCACGTGGACAAAGTGGTTCTTACCAAAATGGGTCATTTAATTCAGGTCACAGGAGATTTAAACCAAAATGTCAATGGTGTGATCAACCAGGTCATACAGCAAAACAATGCCCAAAAATGTCTACTTCTGATTTCTCTGCAAATTGTGCAGCCTCTTCTCACCGCAAAAATCATAAATGGCTAGTGGACTCAGCAGCATCTCATAATATGACCACTAATCTCTCCAATCTGAAGATTAATTCTGAATATGATGGTATTGATGAAGTGGTAATTGGAGATGGATCAGGTTTGCCTGTCTCTCATACTGGGTCATTGTCTCTTAAATCATCCAATCATGTTTTTCATTTACGTGACACTCTTTATGTTCCAACCATTCATAAAAATCTTATCTTTGTTCATCATTTTACCAAACATAACAATGTTTATATTGAATTTCACCCTACTTATTTTTTGGTGAAGGATCGGATCACGGGGGCGATCCTGCTCAAAGACGAATGTGAAGATGGAGTGTACCCATTTCCGGAGCACCCGTCACCCATCCAGAAAAATATTGCTGCCTATATTCATGAACGTACTACATCTGATGGATGGCACAAACGTCTTGGTCATCCATCATCCAAATTGGTTAATCATCTCATTCATGCTTTTTCTTTACCCATTAATAAAAATGGCCATTCCTCCATGTGTGCTTCATGCTCTCAAAACAAAGCTTATCGTCAAACATTTAGTACTCATGGTCTTACTAGCACTATTCCACTTGAATTGATTTATACGGATGTTTGGGGTCCATCTCATGATTCTGGAATTAATGGATTTAAATATTATGTTATTTTTATTGACCATTATACCAAATATATATGGCTTTATCCCATGACTAAAAAATCAAATGTTCAAACTATTTTTCCACAATTTCGTAATCTTGTGGAAAATCATTTCAATACAAAAATAAAAAGTCTTTATTCAAATAATGGTGGGGAATATGTTGCTCTTAAAACTTATCTCTCTGTTCATGGCATTAGTCACTACACTATTGCTCCTCACACTCCCCAACAAAATGATAAGTCTGAAAGACGACATCGCCACTTAGTTGAAACTGGTCTTACCTTGCTCACCGATGCTCACATGCCTCTCTCTTATTGGCCTTATGCATTTTAAACTGCTGCCTACCTTATCAATCGCATGCCCACTGCCACCTTGAATAATAAATCCCTGTTTGAAAAATTATTTAATCAAAGACCCAACTATCTCAAGCTCAAACAATTTGGTTGTCTATGTTATCTATTAACCCAACCATACAATAAACACAAACTTGAGTCGAAATCAAAACCATGCACATTCATGGGTTATAGCTTATCCCAAAATGCATATCTGTGCTTTGAACCCTCTACCAAAAACATAATAACCTCCCGACATGTCATCTTTCATGAAGCAACATTTCCTTTTCAACAGACCAGTCATAACAGTGTCCCTTCTTCTCCATCTGTTGGGCAAAATTCTTCTGTGCTTATCTCATTACCATAGCTACCTTTTGATTCACCTAGACCCAGCACTTCTATGGATGTGGGTACTAAAGTCTTGCCTTTGTCTGAGCATGGGTCGCCCTCTGCACCGTCTCCTCTCCAGGTAAGTATTCCATCTTCTCCCCTGCTCTTAGATCCAACTACTTCCATGGAATTACCTGTTTCTGCTGCGGTGCGTGTTCATAGCATGACTACTAGGTTTATGAATGAAATTTATAAACCCAAAAAAACCTTTCTTGTTACCAAACATCCCCTTCCATCTTCTTTGGAACCCTCGAGTGTCACTGTTGCACTCGCTGATTCCAGATGGCGTGAGGCCATGTCCTCTAAATTAACTGCTTTAATGCGTCATAATACTTGGCAATTAGTACCCCCTCCTTCTGATTGTAATATTGTGGGCTGTAAATGGGTGTTTCGAGTGAAAAGGCATGCTAATGGGTCTGTTGACCGGTTCAAAGCCAGATTTGTGGCCAAAGGGTTCAATCAGCGACCCGGACTGGATTACAAAAAAACATTTAGCCCTGTTGTTAAGCCGGTTACCATACGCATTGTCTTGGCTATTGTTGTGATGCAGGGTTTGTCCTTGAGGTAATTGGATGTTAATAATGCATTTCTTCATGGGCATCTCACCGAATCAGTATATATGAAGCAACCCCCGAGCTTTAGAAATCCTGACCATCCTGATTATGTTTGTTGCCTAACCAAGGCTATTTATGGTCTAAAACAAGCATCACGTGCTTGGTACACTGCTCTTAAGCATGCATTGACCGAGTTTGGCTTCCTTAATTCCAAATCAGATTCATCTCTTTTTGTGTTTCATAATGGTTCCACTCTTGTGTATTGCCTAGTGTATGTTGACGACTTAATTATCACAGGCAATAATTCAGTTTTTGTTGCAAGTATTATTGATCATCTTGGCCAAAACTTTTCTATCAAAGACTTGGGGTTACTGCATTTTTTTCTTGGTGTTGAGGTTATTCCTACTACAGCTGGATTGTTTCTAACTCAACACAAGTATATTCGAGACTTACTTGCCAAAACCAATATGACTGGTGCTAGAGATGTCACCACGCCTTTCTCAACATCGGTTGCTTTGCAATTGGATGATGGTTCTTCCTCTGTTGACTCCACAGAATTTTGTCAAGTTATTGGTGCCTTGCAATATTTATCTCTTACAAGACCTGATATTAGTTTTGCTGTCAATAAACTCTCCCAGTTCATGCATTATCCCACGTAGATTCATTGGACAGCAACAAAAAGATTGCTGCGATATTTGAAGAACACAATCTTCCATGGAGTTACTATTAACAAAACATCCAGCAGCATGTTAACTTGTTTCTCGGATGCTGATTGGGCTGGTAGTTTGGATGACAAGAAATCTACTTCTGCTTATCTGTTATTCCTTAGAACTACACCAATTTCTTGGAGTTCTAAGAAGCAACGAGCCATTGCAAGATCATCAACTGAAGCTGAATATAGGGCTTTGGCAATAGCTGCTGCTGAGAGTGTGTGGCTGCTATCCCTACTTCAGGAATTGAAGTTTTGTCTATCACAACCACCATTGCTCTTATGTGATAATTTAGGTGCCACTCAATTAAGTTTTAATCCTGTTCAGCACTCCAGGATGAAACATATACAGATTGATATTCACTTTGTGCGAGATTTGGTTGCGAAAAATATTCTCAATGTTCAACATGTCCACATAACTGATCAGCTAGCAGATCTGCTCACCAAACCTCTCTCCAGACAATGAACCGATTTCTTGCGTGACAAGATCGGCCTATCCGATGGTAGCCTGTTCTTGCGGTGGCGTATCAAGGAATCTGATGAAATCAAATCACAACAAATTCAAACGCAGCTGTTACCATGAGTTATGCCAGATTTTGTGCTCTTCATAATTATAGGATCCATTTGAAATATTGTTATTAATTCTGATTGTAAATATTGTTACACACATTTGAATTCAAAAGTCAAGCTCTCAATATTGCATAAATGTTATAACAAATAAATAAAAAATGTGTGTTGCATTACATAATACTGCAGTATAAGTTTTTATATACTAGTTATACAAATGCTATCAATATTTTGACATCAAAGAAATTGATGAGACTGGGAAGCTTAAGTTAGCTTCCTACTATTTAGATACATCATTGCCATATATTAGCACCAAAATTTCATAAAAAGCTAAGGTTGCAAGTAGTAACTTGAGGTGAATATGCAGAGTCAATATGTTGTAGGTTTGGTGGTAAGAAAGATCCACCATAAGAGCTTAAAAACCTTAGACAAATACGAGATTTAGAGGTTTGCATTAGGAACTATGAGACATTATGGAATAGTGGAGAAATCAGTGAGAAACAAGTCTTGGTGTTTTTTTAGGAGGATCGGAAGTGAAGATCAAAAACCTAGTTAAGATGTTTGAACCTAAAACCTTAACCCAAGCTTATAATCTGGCAAGTATACAAGACAATACTCTAACCTACAGAATATCTCACCAAAACCAACCAAACAGTGTAGTCCAGGTCTAGCTACAATTAAACACCAAAAAATACTTCACCCGCATTGACCACCCGTTATGCTAGGTAAAATCATGTCAAACTACAAGGAGTTATGAAGTGGTACCTAGAGGAGAAAATCTTTTCTAGTTGCAAGCTTTCGGGTATGAACAAATCAACAGCTTGCTAGATAATTTAATTCAAGAAGCAGAGATCAATTTGTGTAGCCTAAAACTAATTCAAGAAGTTGACAGTGCAATACATTCAATGTCTGCTATTCTTCCACACAGGTTGAAAAGAGTTTTCCTTTGAAGACACTTTTAGAATCATATGAAGACATATTTAGAGAACCTAAGAGGTTACCTCTAACATGACCCCATAACCATTATATACCTCTAAAGGAGGGAGCTCAACTAGTCAACCTAGTACCATACGTACAGGCATTCTGGGTTAGAAAAGGATGTTGTGGAGAATTAGGTTTCTGAAATGCTTGAGTCTAGTAGATGAACACGACAATGTTTTCATAAGTGGAATGTTTACCACTGATACATTGTGTTTTATTTAGTCGAATGTTACCATTGATACGCTGAGTTTTGTTTAGTGCAAATTAGTTAGTACAAGAAGCCATGTGTGGGCAGTAGCGAGACTGTAGAAAAGGTTAGTACTCTTCCTATAAGAAGCTGTAATATAATGGTAGAACTATGGAAAAATGAATGATGAAAGAATTTTAACGTTACTATACTGTCTTTCTCTCCCTCTCTCGTCCTTTATTCTTTTTAACAAACCGTTCTCTTCCATCTCTGGAGCTGGCTGATAGTCTCTCCTTCTTCATTATCATCTGGGGATAATAATAAAATATTATTAATAAATAATATTTATTTATTTTATTTTTAAATAATCATAATTATATACTTAAATTAAATTTTTAAAAAAATGTATTATTAATTAACTTATACCCTTGTTAGTAATTTACACTTAAATTAAATTTTAAACAAAAGAAACCCACTAGTAAGGTAGCCAATACTATTCAAGAAATGTTACCAAAATGTTCTTGCTACTTCACCTAGCATTTCATTCCACTAATTAGAAAGTATTTTTTATTATCTTTCTCATCACTTCACTAGTATTATTAATTAATCCAATTTATAAATCATGTATAATTTTTATTAAATCTTGTTAATTGATATTTATGAAACTTTAATTAGAATAACAACAATATTATTTTTCTTACGTTTCCTTGTATAGACAAAAAAAAAAAGGAAGAATTTCCTAAGCACAAATTCTCACGATCCATTACCCAAGTCACTTCTGTATATGTTTCTGTTCTTACAGATACGGTGTATAAAATAAGTAACATTAGGCAGAGTTTCATTTTTTGTTCTCTTTCATTCACTTGTTTACCTTTATCTGCTCAAAATCATATCATTTTTATGAAGATTTTTCCCTCTCATTTGCATTTTAATTACTTTCTATAACCAATGACACAACCCCCCAACAATGTATACACGTTCCTATAATCTTGTAAGTAACATATGATGTTTTGAATTAGTCCCCCATCTTTCCTTATATATATATATATATATATATATATAGTAGTGCATCTTCTGTGTTCTTCCACTTTTCTATATAATTTCACAATTTAATCAATCGTGGCAGGAAAGGCGCCACAACCATGCGACTGTGGCCAAGGGTAAGATCACTATTACTGCTGTTCTTATTATCACAGAGCTACATAATTAATGTTTAAGTTGGCATTGTTTACATTATTGCTGTCAAAGCATCATATTTCACAAATCCTCAAAAGACACGACTAGCCATTTCTTGGAGTTCATAAGTTGATCTCTGTCTTAATTTCTCATATGCCGGCGCTGTGTGAGAAATTACAGCAAGATTTAGAGCATCTGGAGGAAGAATAAATCATGCAAAAGAGTTGGTGGTACACCTCAACATTCAAGTAATTCCTATGCTAGAACTAATTAGTTTTGGACTTGGCTTGTATTTTTCTTAGTTGAGCTGGATTTGGCAGGCCTCCATATATGCTCGTCATGCATATAAGTGCGCGTGTGTGTCATGTATGCCGTGGCAATTTTGAGGAGAGGTCACAGAATATTTGTTTTTTGAGAATAGAAGTTAGGTAGCGTGGGCTGTAAAGAAAAGAATTGGTGGTATTGTTTTGAGATTATTTTTTTTGGCATAATTGGATTT